ATGGATTTATGTATATTAAAGAACTGCTTTTACAATACCACAATTTCAAAATGTATGAAACATATAAAACATTAACTGATAGTAATATTAAAGTGTATAGTGTTAAAACGGACAGTTTTACTATCCACAAAGACGATTTGGATAAAGTTTATGGATATACTTATTTGAGAAAATGGCGGGAAGGACTGCTGAAATTTGGCGATGAGATAGGCGACTGGAGACTGGTGGGACACCCTGTGTCCCAGCACTTGGGAAGTGAAACTTCCCAACTGGAAGAGAAGCACACTATAACATTACCGACACAACCATATAAGTATAAGTTTAATGAATTACCTGAAATACCAAAGATTAAGAATATTAATATTTCTATTGAAGATGAATGGATTACTGAAAGCATTTGTAAAAAAGTTATTAAACAAAATCCAGTAATTGTTAGGGGTAAATTTCCGGGCACAGGCAAGAGTTATATAGGTCAGCATTTCCAAAAGATGAATAAGAATGTATTATTCGTAGTGCCTACCAACCGACAACTACAAGAAATGCAAGATAAAGGAATAGAAGCAACAACATATAACAAGTTTTTTAGCATTGCCGTTCATGAAGATGTCGGAGAGAAATTACCAATTTATGATTATTCGCCTTATGATGTAATAGTGTTTGATGAGATTTATATGTTGAATTTATACACTTTGAATAAAGTTTGGCAGTTTATGGAAAACAACACTCATATTATCAGAATTGCTACTGGTGATGTAAAACAATTAGAAGGGGTGGAAACCATGACAAACTGCCAAGACCCCGCAACATACATTGACAACTGTATAGACACAATGTTTAAATATAATATTTTCTTAAAAATATGTAAGAGAGTAGGAGCAAAGGACAGCGTAGAAGGAGAAAGAAACAGAAAATATTAAATGATATGTATAATGACTGGTGGGAAAACAACATTCCACGCAAAGAGTTTATACTTAAATACAGTTATTTAACCGATGACATCATGGCATCAGAGCATAATATCGCTTATACCAATATGAGATGCGAAAATGTAGCAAATGAGATTAGAGACAGATTAAACATAAGTGAGAAATATGTAGTGGGTGATATTTTGGTTTCCAGAACATGGATTAAACAACCAAGGGTTAATATCAATTTGAGATACAGGATTACAAAGATAGAAGATGATGAATTAGGGAAGCAAATAACATTACAGAATATAGCAAGACAAGAAGATGAGTTTATGTTGTCTGAACCTATTGTAGATAAAAACTTCATCTATCCTTACTGTGCTACTTGTCATTCAAGTCAGGGGTCAAGCGTAAAGGAAAGCATAACTATTCACGAATGGGACTTACCCATAACCAGCAGAGAGTGGATATGGACGGCATTGACTCGCTGTGTTGATTTTAGGAAAGTTAAATTTTATTGTAATCCAGACTTTGATAAGCAAATGGATAAAAATATGATAATGAGATATTTTAAAAACAAAGTAGAAAATTATAAGATACAAGACCGTCGCGCTCAAAGAGAAATTAATGAGGAAGAATACATTAGTGCTGAATGGTGTTTATCACAGTTTCGCGCCAGATGCCACAAGTGTAATACTTCATTTAACTTTGAAACGAAGAAAGGTAAATTATGTAGCAATTTTACTTGTCAGCGCCTTGATAATTCAATCGCTCACCATATAGATAATTCAACTTCATTCTGTGTATATTGTAATGTTTCAGCTCATTAAGATTTTAATATTTTTTCATAATAAAATCTTAGTTTTAGACTAAAAAAGGTTTGAAGAAATAATACCTATATATAGTAGAGAGTAATGAAGGAACAAGAAGTAAATAATTATATCAATAAGAAATGCTATGACTGTTGCCACTTCAAAAACGAACATATGGAATTATACAAAATGAATTTACCTAATGGAATAGTTAATAATATTATTGATTATGCTGTGGACGAACAAAATTGTAAAATTTGTAAAAATTGGAGGTTTTATCAAGAATTAATCAAATGTCATTTGAACCATAAAAGGTTTCTTAAAACAAATGTTGAAGATGACATTATAATATTTTTAACTGTGTATGAAAGACCACGTTATAGTTATGTTAGAATATTTCTCAAAATCGGTAAGAAAAAGTATGAAATGATTAACCACATATTATGGATGTTGTTGCATCGTAGGAGAGACGGGTCTGATTTAAAAGGAGACATTAAATCATATATTGAAAGCAACAAGTTTAATGTGAAAAATACCGTGAGAGATATCAATATTATTATTAAAATTATGTATGAAAGACGTGAGATATATACACAATTTAATAATCATCAATTAACTTATTATCCTGAATTTAAATTATAAATAATATTATCAATATAATAAATCTTAATTTATTATATGGATAAACAAAAAATAATTAGTGATATTTACTATGACAAAAGCGGATACGGTAGTAAAGCAATAACTTTGAAAGATGCCAGACAGAAAGATAAAACTATTACTGCGGACGATGTTAATGAGTTCTTTAAAAAGAATGTTGAGGAAAAAAGGAAAATGCGAGGGCAGAATAGTTTTGTTGCTCCTCATGCCTTCTGGGAATTTCAGTTAGATTTGTTTTTTATTTCAAAAAATGATTTGGAAAATCAAAAGTTTAGAATTGGATTAATATTAATTGATATATTTAGTAAATATGCTACTGTAATACCTATTGCAAGTAAGCAACCGCCAGACGTATTAGCAGGAATAATGGAAGGCATTAAGAAAATGGGCGGAAAACCCAAAATGATATACAGCGACGAAGAAGGCAGTTTGTTTAGTTCTACCATCACAGATTATCTTGATGAGGAAAAAATTGAATTACACACCACGAGAGGCCACCCTGCTTTTGGAGAAAGATTTATTAGAACCTACAAAGATATGCTTTTTAAAAGAGTTGATGCGGATGAAAAGAAAGGTAAAAACAATATACAATGGATAGATTACAATTTAGAAATATTATTGACATATAATAATAAATTAGTAAGTTCCGTTACGAAAATGACACCATTAGAAGCAAGGAAGAAAAAGAATGAGTTTGAAGTGAAACTGAATATATCAATGAATGCCAGAAAAACCCGTGTGTATCCTGATTTAGATGTAGGGGACAAAGTCAAGATAATGAGAAAGAAAGCGATTAGCGAGAAAGAGAGAACCAGTCATTGGTTAAGGACAGTCCGTACAATAACCAAAATAGAAAATAAATTGGGGCAGAAGTATTATCATGTTAGTGATTTTCCCAAACCTCTATTGCAACATGAAATGTTGAAATTATAGTTTTAGACTAAAAAGGTTTAAAGAAATAATACCTATATATATTAGTGATAAATATGGTTGTATTTACAGAGGTTGAACAGGAAGAAATTATCAATGAATTCTTAACTTATATTGAACAACAGGAAACTAAAATAATTGATGATTTTTTGAGTAATAATGATAATAAAACAGAAGAAGAAGAAGAAGAAGATGACAGTTACGGATTTGTAACTGAAAAACGGTTAGAAAAGGAAATTACAGAACATCATGAAATGATAAACAATATTGAAACGAAAAATTACATCCCATTAAAACATGCAATGATAAAATATATGGAACAAACCAACAACCAACACATAATTAGAAATGCTGGAAACTATTCATACAGTCAAAATACATCCAATTGGTGGTATGTAAGCTTTAGAGAATTTGAATGGTTAATCGAAATGAAAAAGAATGGCAACAGATGGGTTTGTAGCAAGGAAAAATTAGATGCAGTTGATTTTAACATATTGTATACATATAAAATGTTTAGAAGAAGATTTGATTAATTATAAAAAACGAATGAACCAGACCTTGCCCATAATATGTCTACAAAATTTGTGATAAAATTTATTGTAAAATAATTTATCATATTTTTTGGAATAATATTTTTTGAAAATTTTGTAAAACTATATTTTCTAAAATTTATATTTTAAAATTTATATTTTAAAATATGGATGAACTTACTAGGAAATTACCTGCTTTGAAATGTTGAAATTATAGTTTTAGACTAATAAGATAAAATTATTAGATTTATTCAATATATTTGTAATTGTTCTTTGTGTTGTTCCTTGTTTGGTTTTTTGTGCGGTTTGTTGTTTGGTGTTTTTTTTCGGGACAGGGGGCTTACCCAGACCTCGTTATGGTTTTGGTTTAAAACCATTTAAAGGGATGATGCCTTACTATGTAAGGATTATGGATAAGAAATATTGCTCAGGTTGTCAATCAAATAGGCGTGTGGAATTGTTCACTGAACCCTACAAAAAATTGCGACAAGTGCCGTGAGAAGGGAAGGAACAAATGGCATCGCCAAACAGTAGAACGAAGGGATGCAGTAAATGAAAGGAGGAGAGAAAACAGGAAAAACGAAGAAGTAAAAGCAAGGGAAAAAGCATACAGACAAAAAACTTATCATTGTGATGTTTGTAATTGTGAAGTCAGAACATGCAACAAGGCAAGACATGAAAGAACAGATAAGCATATTGACAATTTAAAAAAGAATGAGGTTAAGGAAAATTGAGTTGGTTTAAGTTATGCTTTTATGAATAACTTAAAACAATTGGTGGGTGGATTGATTTTTACGGGATTTATGCAATTTTTTAATGTTAGATTTTGCGGGGCTCTTTTGAAATGGCGTGAAAACCATAGGGTGGAGTATACAATGATGAGGTTGCGGTAAGCTCTTTCTTGCTCTGTTTTGCAGGGGCTGCAGGTCCCACCACAAAAGCTTGATGCCATGTGGCGGTGTTCGATACGTGATGGCCATGAGTATTCAGGAAGAAATGTTTGCCCCGGTTCAAGCGGAATACTTTCCACAGCCCTTTCGACATGTGTCGGGATCCAGGCGGATCTAGGGTAGACTTACATATCAGCCCAGAGGGGTTCTCTCTTCAAGCAGAGATATTTTTGGGATGAATGGTCGCTACAGATGGAACGTGCGTCCCAGGCTGGCAGTCAAGGATGCCGTGTACTCCGCAGCAGCCAGGCCTTTCGGCAGGCGTTTGGCGAAAGTCTTGTGGTCGATTTGGGACCATGCCTGGCCTTTTTAGGTCAGCGCGGCTGCAAATAGATGGCACTACTGGTTGCAGGATGTTGCAGGTTGGTTCTAATCTTTGTTGCCAGGGCCATCGATTTTTGCCAAAAGGACACCGGTGAATTTGCAACCCTTTCGACAGGTCCACCAACCATTCTTTAATAAGGCAATTGGGAGCGGATCAATTTGGCTGGGATTTGCCCAAAGCGGCTTTCCGACCTTTTGACCTTTTGGGTCTTCCAGTTTTGGGTTCCCATTTTGAGTCATGGCCCCAAAAGTTGATCACCTTTGATTTCTGGGTCCGAACTGGGCAACTGAGTTGGACTTTAGCATTTTTGGCTGGGATTTGCCATTGGAGCCACACAGAAAGCGAAGCTTTTGCAGAGACGTCGAGAGCAACCAACCGTTTGAAAGGGTATGTTCGAGAGAAGTTATGGCCTCGTGGAGTTCAATGCCTCAGACCGGACACTCCGACCAAAGTGATGCTCACTTGGTTACCGACTGGTTCAGGAGATCCTCATGTAACCCATGGGTTTTTCGAGCAAGACTTGCTGACGCCATTGGGATGGCTGACCCATGGCCCAGAAATAGTGAGCTGCTTGGCTTGAGTCCGTGTTGCCAAGAGCGGGGGCTGGAGATGAAAAAAACTCTTTGCACAATTCTGGATGTAAAAGCCCGGAAGTAAATGCTAGGTCCCCCAGTAGTGCCTCTTTACCGTTTATTTTTCGGGAGGGTTCCCCTACCAAAATTGTCAACAAAAAGGGTACCCTTATTCTAGCCTTCTACCAACTCGAGGCAATTTGTTGAACTCGTTTGGAATTGGTATGGCGAACCTGCTACTTGGTTTGGAATTGGTATGGCGAAACTGCTCAGGAACTTGACCCTCTGGCTGCAGTGGCAGGCTCTCTTGGTGAAGGAGGGGCTCTTTAGCCACTGAAACGCGGGTGTAAACATGTGATAGGCTCCGGCGGCCGGCGGGATTGGGAGTGGTTGCGGTGCTTGGCGATGCAGAATTCTCTGCTATTGGGTTAGATCTTTAGACTTTAACTTTTGGGATTCCCCTCATATTGCCTTTTTAACCACCTAGCTATGTTTCCGCACGTGGCGATTGAGAGAGCAAACAGTTAAACTATTTGCTGGGGGATCTACAGCACCCAATAATTTTGGTGGGTGTGGGTGCTGCACATTGCCGACTGGCATGGGTTGACTTATTCCAGGACCAAGCGTGATGTCTCATTGCGGAGTGAGAACATGAGATTGCTTCAGCTGCTTTGGTTGTGTGCCACGTTTCTGCCTGCGGAGAGGCTGCGTGGGCGTGCGTTTGCTGAGGCTATCCTTTTTGGGGCTTGCTTTTTCAAGGAAAAAAAAACAGAACCCAGCCATTCCGGGTTGATGCAGCCTGGCCCGACCTGCAGGAGTTCCGAGGTAACGACCAAGCAGGAGGGGCCCCAAAGTGCGATCGAGAGACGTGCAACCGGGCGGTGGGGAAGCCAGTAGCATTGAGCCCTTCGACTCGGAGAGTTGCCAGGACTCGCCCTGCTGGTGTCCTCCTTCAGGAGCCGGATTTGCTTTGGGGGATGCTGTTTGCGTGGTGCTCCCCGTCCCTGCGAACCCGTCCTTTGGGGTTGCAAGTTGGGGGTTGAAAAGGGGGATCCTTTGGAGGGCCAGGGGTGCTGTTCGGCCCAATGCGACTCGCTTTCCATGGCAAAACGGAACCGAAGCACTGAGAGACGCGAGGAAAGTCACGCCGAGGCCTTCAAGCTCTCGATCGTTTCGCTTCTCGTTGTCATGTCACATATCTTTGTATAGAGGCATGAGTGATTATGTAGGCAATGGCTTCTCAAGTGAAGGCAGCATTGGCGAGTGGCAGTTCCAGACGAATGGCAACACCTTCCTGCACGTTCCAGCTCACGACTCACAAAACGAGCGGATCTTCTGAAACAGCAAGCCACGCCAGGTGCGGACAAGTTTGATCTGATTTTGTGTCGAAAGCGCCAGGACTGATGATCTTCAGGACAGCACCAAGGGTTGGTTTGGAGAGGGGGCGGGCTGAAACCTTGCCGAAAGGTGGAGCAAAGAGACTCTTCATTTGGCCAACTGAAGCTTTTTTTGATATTCCGAGGCCATCCCACATTGGGCTCCTGCTTAGGTCCTGTGAATTGACCTGCTCTAATAAAGACTACCTTTCAGAAAGATGCAACCAATCTGGTTGCAGATTTGTCACTTGGCTTTTTGCTCGGCAGGGTAGTCCAGATGATGTTTTCATAGTGACCAGTGAGACAAGGCTGTAAGGATGTGTTTGCCACTGCTTGCTTTGAAAGGTTTGCCTCTTTGTGGCTGTTGGTTCATCGCTTTTGTGAGGCAGGCCGGTGATTGAATGAACGTGGATGGGAGATGCTTTAGATGTGCGATCAGAGCTGCCAGACGGAAGGTAAGGGCCCAGTCACATGTTTTTGCACCGCCCAGCTCCCAGCCTACCTCGCGGCCACCTCAAGCGGGGGTGTTCATGCTCCATCCCCAGCCACGCCAGTACCTTTTGGGCTGGGAGAACTGCATCATTTGCGAGGCGCGGACGGCGGTTGCGGACGGACCAGGGCGACATGGAAAACTCAGTTGCCCAAAGCGAATCGACCTCTTGAAATGTTGGTTTTCGCGTTTGGGGTTCCCATTTTTAGGCATGGCCCCAAAAGGTGATCACCTTTTGTTTCCAGGTCCGAACTGGGCAACTGAGAAAAGGACAAGTTGCGCGTGTTGAAATCCATGGACCATTTCACTCACTTAGGTCCCCCAGCTCAGGTTTCTTTTTGGTTGAAAGGGTTCCCCTACTAAAATTTAAACTACAGAAAGGGTGCCCTGATTATAACCTCGCTACTGGAGGACCTATTCACATGACCATTGCCAGAAGCTCCTTGCAGGAAAGTTGCCGTTCCTTGCAAGAGCTTCCTCCCTCAGTGATTTTGAAGGTCAAGCAAGAAGGTCAATTACATTCTTCCAAGCAATGGATAGCTTCAGGACGTAGAAAGCTCCACGGTTCATGTTGCAGGTCGAGGGGTGCGGATGCAACAGCACGGTGATGATTTTTTGACTGATGCACTTGGGCATATTTGTTTGACCCGTGAAGGACGGAAGTACGTAGGCATAAGTTTTGCGATGTCAACCAGCGAGCAAGAGCTGGTCAGTGTCAGGTGTTCGTTCAGATTGTAGCTTCCCTTCTTTGGCACACGTTCAATGCTTGTTTCAGGTGAACTTCCGCCTGCCGCTTTCCTTTCCATCAATCCTCGTTGCTCAAGCTGTCAGGAGTCCTATCCAGCTCAGCTGCGCATGTATGTCGGCAGCTCAGCCCGCGCGGGGCGCGCGGGTCGTTTTGGCGTTCTCGGCGGGCCTTGGCAAATGGCATGAAGCGTTGCGCCCAGATATGGCTGTGGGTCAAGAAAAGTGCCCAAAATGGAACCCTGGTAAATGGAAGCATGAACTCCAATCTGCGGTCCCCTGGTGTTTTAATATTGACCCACACCCATATGACACTCATGAGACCACAGAGCCACACGGAACTTCTGACGGAGGATGTCGCCTTCGCCGCTTGGTGAAGAGAGCGGAGTGACTTGCAGACTAACCGTTAACTCACTCTCTTTCCATTGGGATGCCTCAAAGGAGTTCCATTGACTGGAAGTTCCTTGCTTACCTACAGCCCAATCGCATTAAACAAAAGAAAAAAGAAAAAAAACTATGATGATAGGAGTGGGCCATCACTCTCCTGTTTGGCATTTTGTCCAGGATGCCTTTGGAACACTTTTCCAGGGGCTGCCAAACAGGGCCCATCATGATGAAGGCAATTTCCGCGGCTTGACATGGACTTGCCCTAAAGGGGCCCTGAGCTTTCAGTGAAGAAATCGGGTTACCCAAGGGAGCCACTACCAAAAAAAACTTTGCTGGCGCGCAGGGAATGAGAAATGGAATGAACCTTTCCAAAAAGACGATCCCCATTGGCATCCCCAAACGGTTCATTCCAACTCATTCCCTACCTATCGCAGCAGAAAGGGTCGTCCATCCCTTCGCTCTGAGGCTGGCGAGGGCGACCTCACTGTGCGGTTCCGCGCTTTGCCGGGCGCTTGGGGAAGAGATGCCGCGGCGAAGGTCGAGCAGACGCGGCGAAGTCGAGTCAGACATGGGTAACCACTCACTTCCTGAGATTCATGAACTTGAAACTTTTGGGGTTTGGACCATTTGAGTGGCAAATATAAAGTTTGGACTTTCTTTGGGCCATCCACTCAGCCAGTGATATTAACGACCTTGAACATTGGTTCGTTCTGCAAATGGCGCCGATCACTAAGGCCGGCGCGTATTCTCAACCACCCAGAGGCGATGGTGGATGGCACCTTTCCGACTGCTGCTTAGAGTTTGCATCTTGTCAGAGTCGCCGGTTGGACCAACTCAAAGGGAGGTTTCGTTGCGTGGTGACTTGTTTGGAAGGGGACAGGCCAGCAGGATCACTTGCAGGGACACTGGCCGGACTGGGCGTGAAAGAGAGCAACTGCAGGCCTGATGAATGAGACAATTTTCCCCCCGGACCCCTGAACATTTTGCTTTTGCGGCTCCAACGAACGATTTGGAGGGGATCCGGTATGTTCGGATCAGGCCTGATCCGGGGTCAACGTTGCAGGTGTTCGATTACGAAACTGCCAAGTCGGCAGGGCGGAAGATCGGCGAGCTGCTGCTTGTTTGATTCTGAAGACTGCTGTTGATCAAGTCTGCTTCCCAGCTTTTGGGTTCAAACCTGTCGAGGGTTGTGGGCTGAAAGCAGCCAGTTCGGAGTTTGGATTATTTTTGCGTGGCTGGCAGTGTTTCTTGAGCCCGAGGCAAGGAGTAGCAAAAAAAACAAGTTGGTGGATGATTCACTCGGCTGAACGAAGTGAGAATTTGGAGGCGCCGGACAGCAAGAAGATAGTCCGAGGGTTGGCCTTAACCTTGCCCACCACACATTGATGCTATGCTTCGGTGCTATGGGCATATGGCCCTGTGTCCACCCCAGTTCCCAGGTGTGAGGGAAGTATCATTCAGAAAACTGTCGCATGACCCACTCGAATTCCGAGCTCGGACACAAAAATTTCTCAGGCCCGAGCTGCGGGTGGTGCACCTGAAAGGCCTTTGGTGGCAGCTTGGCTGGGAATCGGCCCAGGAGCCCCAAGCCCCGAAGTGTAGAGACCCCATTTTCCCGGAAAAGGCGAAGGGAGGTAAAGCTGTTTGGATCATTTTGTCGGGGGAATGCGCGCGCAAGCACACGGCAAAAAGCTGGGAGTCAACGGCAAGTGGTTGGCATTTCAAGTTTCAACCTGTGAGGTTCTTGGAGCACTTCTGTGGGTCGTTTGAACTGGGGTCTCCTCCAAAATTAGCTGGACATTAAGTTGAACTATAAAAACCGTATCACCCAGCGAGAAACAAACATGAAGATAAAGGTATTTGTATGTATATATATATATACATATCAGATGTATCTTTCTAAATTACATATGTACCCTCTAAGCGAAAAACCTTTAATTTTAAAGGGTCAAATGGGAAAACCTGGTTTTTGGGCAAGTTTTGGAAAAATAAAGGTTTTCCAGGGAAAAACCTGGTATTTCACTTACATCCTTTATTTTGGCACTTTTCGCAAGCGAAATGTCGGATGATTGAAGAACAGAGCAAAGGTGCCAGATCTCGCGCAGGTGTTGAAAGGAGCCGCCAGGTTTCTTTCACTGCCAAATTGTATATTGGGTTTCTAGATGTTTTTGGGGAATCTCTTGTGGTTTCCTTTTGTACCGCCAAGTGCGCGATAGCCCCCTGCTCCTCAAGATTGGAGCTCAAAAGGCAGGGGTAGACGCGAGGGCGTGGTCAACCAAAACTCAACAATGCAGCGGGACAACCAACTTGAATGTACAAGTGTGCAGCTCACTACTTGACCATCAGTAGCTCTGCGTGATTGACACATCATGCTCATCTTGGTACTTTTTTTGTATTTTTAAAACATCAGGCAGTATCCCAAAGTGACACTTGCATTCTTTACTCGGCTCGGCGCACAAGCCAAATGCCAACAAAGCTGGCCTCAGGCCAAGTCGCACTGTCTTCCAGCACCTAACTTTGATTCGATGGGAAGCACAGTCCAAGCCAAACATGTTGCGTAGTACGTGCTTGTGCCCGAAAACCTTCGGACGTTCTACCGCAATGTCATACAAAACCAGTTCGCTGCTCGCGCAATCTAGCTGTGTGCCCGCTTTTCTTTGCTGGAAAGCTTCTGGAAGGCCGAGCGCGTGCGAAAAAAAAGGAAACCCATAAAAATCCCATACGAATCCCATAAAAATCCCATACAAACCCATATTTTCCCGAAAACCAGGTTTTTCCTAACCCGTACAAAAACCGTACAAATCCCATAAAAATACCGTACAAACCCGTACGCAATTTATGGGATTTTCAGCCTCTGCTCAAGCAGCTTTCCAGGCCTGAGCTGCCCGAAATAAGCTTGCAAGGTGTCCCTGCGAAAAGCAGTCATTCATGTGTTCGTCCCACGCGTCTTTTACTACCTGCTGTCCAGTGTTCAAAGTGGGTTAGGTTCTGGTTAGGTTCCTTTGGCTCGCTCCAAAAATGATGTTCCTGCGACGTTTTAGACAAGCCTGCGAGAAGTTCCGGGATCAATGCTCTAGCACGGGACTTGGTTGTCAAACAGTGAGCATTTGCAAGACGGCCCTCCAGATGTATCCGACGCGAGCTTTACGCAAACAGTCCCAAGCAGATTGCTCAGTGCCATACAAAATATGTATACACGTGCAGCTACCGCTTGTTGCCCTTGTCAGAAAGTTCATATTCCAATGCTGTTTTAAACTTCCCGAGCCACGATCTGGGAAGCCTTCCCAACAAATTGTGGATTGACCATTGTTTCGAGTTCAGCAGGTGATTTGCAACAGGTGCCATGCTCAATGAGCTTGCTTGGATGGGATCGCTAGGCGGCCGTGGAGCGATTGACTGGATGTAAGAGAGCCAACAAAAGGATTATATTGAGGGAACCACAATCATCAAAAAGTAAAAACCCGGTATTTCCTGGAAAAACCGGATATTTTGCCATACCTTTAAAATAAACGGATATTTGCTTAGAGGGTGTATATATATATATACCTGGAGTCTCCATGACCCTTAACAAATGGGGTCATGGAGCCATTTTTTAAGGTTCATGAAGACTAGGTATAGGTATCCATGGTCAATATGCATGTGTCTATGTTTGTCCCGGGCTCTCTTGGCCGAAGGCGAATGGCCGTGGGCAAGGGGGTCTTGACCTCCACAGCCACCCGCGAGCCCGAGCCTCAGAGGCCCATAGTCGCCGTAGGCCCGGTGTCCTTTGGAGCGGTCAGGCGATTTGAAAATCGATGGGTTTCACCGGGTTTTCCGGTTCTGATCATATAGCCAGCTTTTTAATCATCTATTGGGTGCCATCAATTTCCATCTATTGGTTGCCATCTATTGGCTTTTAATCATTTACCAGTTGCCATCTATTGCTTCTAATCATTTTTCGTGCCATCATGTTTTTTCCGAAAGGACACTTATATGATGGGCAGGTTTCCCTGTTCTATTCATTTTTAGTGCCATCATTTGTTTTTCCAAAAGGACACTTATGGAGGGTGGGTGAGCCATCTTGGACACCAGCCCTTTGCAAACCTTTGCAAATCAACCACTAGTTCAAGTGAACCGGGATACCAGCATTTTGTGCGTAGCCGGGGATCGACGGCTCCAGTGAGCGCATGTCTTGCCATGGCAACCACTGCTTCTCCAAATGCGCGAGCTGAGAGTCCAACCATTTTGCCGCACAATCCAAGCGACGTGCAGCTCTTTGCGGCTCGACAGGGCTTTGTAGGCGATCGAATTTGTCGTGCACGAGTGTGCAGGTCATGCGAAAGTTGCATCATCTTGCAGAAAGTAGGAAATGCCAATTTTGTTTTTGTTTTGAAGATCGGCATATGCGTTGCTCTTGTGCCTGTTCTGATCTCGCAGTTTGCTTGTTCGCGCACGTCTGGGCCTTGGTGCCTAACCATATCTCTCTATGTAACATTGCGGTTTGGGCCGACTTGGGCCAAAGGCCATGCCCATTCGCGCGGAAGACCACATCACATGGGGCGGCTCCGTGCTGCCCCGCATCGACACACTGGACCCTCGGATCCGCGGCGCCGGGGCGCCCCGGAGCGTGATTTCGACTTGGCAGGGGGCTGGCGGTGAAGGTGTCACATTGACATGGTCTTGGTCTGGTGGTGCTTCTGGTGGTGCTTCTGGCGGTGCTTCTGGTGGTTCGTCTGGTGGTGAAGTAGTTTGCCCCCTTGAACGGAGGCTCTTGGTCACGAGTTAGCTTCGCCCTAGGGCTGCACAGTCTGCGCAGCCCCTCCAGCGCAGGTGGCTCTGGAGCGCTTTTACTTGCCGAAGCTCGTTGAAAATGGCTATTCGCCCGGGAGCTCAGGTCTTTCCGCTTGGACCGCTTGGATTTCTGGGGCTTTCCATATCGGTTTCGTCCATGGGTTCGTGTCCAGGCCTTTGCTGCGTGAGAGTTGGAGTTTTGTCCTTTGCCAGACCTTGGCAGGAGAGTCGTTTTCCAAGAGCTGGATGTAAGCCTGTTATTTGTTTCGCCAGGTGTTGCTTGGTTCAGGTACCCCCTTGGTTGGTGGTTTGGTGGTTTGGGGATTTTAAACCCCTGGTTCTTGCAGAGGGTTCATGGGATCGCCTGAGCCACCAATCCAAACCACCAATTGGAGGGAAGCTGGCTGGCGTGTGGCCTTTCCCTGCGTGTGCATGCTCGTTGTGGTAAAAAAATGCACAAGGTTTGGATGTGTTCATGGTCTGCGTGTCTCCTGGATCGGTGCTTCTCACACTGTCACATCAGATGTTTGTCGATTCCTCTCGCCCAATGGTAGGACGCACCACTACACAGTCATTCCCAGCTCGCAACTTCCATGTCCCCGCCCCATAAGAATATTGGGAAGGCGCCCACATGCGCTGCCCGTATGCAATCTCCATCGTTTCGCCTTGGCGGGCGAGTGGAAACCAGGGGGGTCTTTTGATTGCCAGTTGGTGGGTACCTATCAGCAAGTTCAACCTGCGCTGCAAGACTGTGCCTTGATTTGCGCATTGGGCCGCATTGGGCTGCAATTCGCATGTCATACTCTTTGACGCATGGAGGCCGTACAGAAAATTATCCACGCCCACACACTTGTACTTAGCCACCGCTTTACTACGGTGGATGGATAAATCTATTTCGAATTATTTTGAAGCCAGGGAAGCCATAGTTGGTATTTACAGGGGAATCGAATCAAAGCCAGGGATACTGAACTTCCATCCACCGCCCGGCTGTGAGGGCAGACCCGGCCATTGGCCGCATCATTGCGGCGGCGGGGCTGAAGCCGCGCAGGCGCGGCCGAGAATCGGTCGGCCGGGCACCGCGTTTGTGTTCTGCTTGGTCCCCCAGCCAGGTGCCCTTGCTGACCCCTTTTTGGGGGGAGGGTTCCCCTACTAAAATCGACTACACAAAAAAAAGTTGGTTCCCTTATTCTAACCTCTCAAATCTGGAGGATCCAGTCTGGGACGCCATTGAAAATCACATGCCGCAGCGCCTTCACTGCAGGTCGAATGAATCGACTCGCGGGTGTGTTTGGGAAGGTGTTTGAAAGGGAAAGCAAAAGGATGCCACCCAGGAAAGTAACCCCCATTTTGAGACGCACCAGTTTGTATGTTGAGTTTGGGGCATGCGCGTTCTCTCTGGCAAGGTTGTCACAAACACAACAAGAGCGACAAGAGCGCGCTTTTGAGGGGTCTATTTATCCACACGGGGTCGTCCCGTCCCACAGCCCTCTGGATGCGTCCTTTCGGCCCATAGCGATTCCTGAGTCGACAAACCTCGCAGGACAGAGGTGTCGTCTTCTCGCGCAAATATAGGAGCCAGCTCTTGCCTATTTGAGATCGCCATGGCGGGCTACATGCCGAACTTTCTGCCAATGAAAGTCAGCAGCAGCACGGAGAATTCTATGGCCATGCGCGTGGAGGACTGGTCACCGTGTGTAGTGATGGTTCGCGCGGGCTGCGACAGGGAAACCTGAGCCCTTGCTTTTCTTGTGCAAGAATCCGTTGTCAGGCCGGTGTGCGGCCTAACAGGGTTCGATTAAACAAGCATTTTGTGTGGATGGGCGAATGATCGTGCTGTCCAAGTTCAAGTTGAGCAGAAGGGTCGCAGATGTGCGTGCTTGTTCGGTGGTGAAAATGCAGCTCTTGGCGTGCTCGCTTGTGCGCATTGGAAGGCCGGTGTGCCTACCTTGAGCATGGACTTAAAGTTCAATGTGAAGATCTCAGTGCCATGGCTGCAAAAACTGCGCATACCGCGAAAGTTAGCAGGTGTCGTGCTGTTGCCCTTTGGAGCTCTGCTCGTTGCCATTTCGCCGTGCTCTTTCAACTGGACTTGCCAATGTGGCAGACAGCGTGTCATTCTAGGGGTACAATTCCCCATGCACAGCCCGGCTCGCGGGACGAGCGCGGGCCTCGCGCGTTGCGCACCTGGCTGCCGCGAGGTGCCGGAGCTTCTGAGAGCGCTGAGCTCTTGGCAGGAGATTCCTCCGCCTCGCATGCAGGAGGGATCACCTCAGCGAGAGTTGCAGATATGGGTGTGGGCCAAAACTAAAGGAAACTGCAAGTTTCAGTCCTTGTTTCCATGTACCAGGGTTCCATTTCAGGTGCCCATTTTTGACCCACAACCACATGTTTCCTGAGCCTGGGCTGTTCAAAGAACAATTCTTCATCCTTACCTTGGGTTACGCAAAGAACCGGTCTCCTTTGCAGTGGCTTCCCTATAGCGATTGTGGATTATTGGCAAATCCTCCAGTTCTCGACTACACCAACGGAATCAGCCAGTGGATACTTATGCCGATTGTTCAGCCCTAGATGTCTGAAGTGAATGTTGCCGCCAGGAGCTGTTCACTTCCCCGATTCAGACGCCTTGAAATGTGAAAGTTAACAGAAATGGAGCTCATGACGGGTGGCCTGCATTAGGTGGAACCCTGATTGAACTTTTGGAAAGCAAGCCCGCCACGTTTAAGAGGGTGTCCCATGTCGGGCACGGTAGAAACATGTCGCAGCTTGCGGGGTTTCTGACCCCTTGTTGGTGCCTGAGGGGGCGCGCGTTCGAGTGCTTCGCCCGGCAGGAGGCAGAGCTTCGCCAGGCGCCGACTGAGACAGAAACAGCTCTGACACCCTTCAGGACTGGGCAGAGATGATGGTCTCTGACTGGGTAAGGCCAAAGCCACTCAGACTACAAGGTACCTGTTCCCACGGGATAAGGTTCCCCGCTTTTAGGACTTCACCATACTTCACCCCCCCCCAGCTCTTTGCTTCATGCCCTGATAGGGTTGCAGGGTGCCGCCCAAAGCCCCAACCCATGCTAATGTGTTGGAACAGTTTCAACTGGCCAAGGGCAACATTGACCCCGGGCAAATCGAAAGGTCATGGACATCTTGATTGCAAGGCCTGCCAGACACAACTGGAAGCGGGTCTGGACCCTCTTGGCGGCGTTTTTGCAAAGTCACCGCATCTGGGCCATTCAGTACCCAGACAATGAAGCCCTTGTACAATCAAGTCGGTGGGCACTTGATGGGCTACGGCTGGAATGTTTTTTCAGGAATGCACTGAGCTACGGCGAGTACTTGGATCAGCACAAGTGGACCAAAATTGCCGTGAACCAACCCATTGTCCTGAGTGAGCCTTGGTCGAGTCTGGCGACTTGGGATTCAGCTTAGGTTGGAGCGTTAATTAGCCTGCCACATGTTTGTGGATGTGCCGCTAAAACCGGTCAGATACGGCTGACCGGAGCAAGACATGGATGTGCGCGTGTTCTTCTATGAAATGAAGGTTGCACAACGCAACTGTAAGTATGCAGAATGCCCACATATTCATCCACATAAAATATCCAGCAACTGCAACACCAAGTTCAGCTGACACATGGTGTGCTGAATGCATTCGCTGGTCGAAAGGCAGGTGACAAACTCAATGATGACTGGACAAGGCAGCAGCGGATTTTTTTTTGTAGGTTGTGCCCCTCCGACTCTTGCAGCAAACCTGCAGAATCTTTGTATATGCATGTGTGCAGTTTGAAGCTTAGCACCAACAGCAGCATGCTCACTGAAGGCTTGCCGCATGCCATTTGCAAAAAGACATGGAGGTGCAGCAGGGTGCAATCGCCTCGGGACCAATTATACTGCTGTTTTGCTGTGCTTTGCTCTCAGCCGAGCCGATTTAAGGACGAGCGCAGCTTTCGGGATGCCAAGTTTGTGCCAATTCCTTTGCCGGCCCGGGAGAGGCTGACGTATGCAACATACGCGAAGCGCAGAGAGGCAGTGGTTGTGCCGGGGGACAGGTGGGGGTGGGATCGATACTAGGCGCCCCGCAAGAGCACGCACACACACACACGCACGCACACACACACACGCACGCACGCACGCACACACACACACACACCCACACCCACACCCACACCCGCCCGCCCGCCCGCACGCACGCACGCACACACACACAGACACACACACACAGACACACACACACACAGACACACACAGACACACACAGACACACACAGACACACACAGACACACACAGACACACACACACACAGACACACACAGACACACACAGACACACACAGACACACAGACACAGACACACAC